AAAAAAATAATCTCCTTCATTTTACGCTTCCATAGTTGTAAAAGAAACACAATAGTGCGATACGTACGGAAACAAGCTCAAAATTGCGACAATGTGCATTTTAGTGTTCAGTTTATTTGTGCTTCTCTAAATGTGTTTCCAATTCATTTTTCGTGTGTGTCTTGTGGTGTGCTCAATTCAAACTGAAACACATTTTTTCATTGGTTTGTTCTCGCATTTTCTTTCTTAAAGACTTGAACGCGCCAAAAAGATATTCTCATCATCGCGTTTCACTCCACCATTTATTCTATCATTCATGTTCAGCGCCCCGAAAGCGATCAACCAAACCATCGACAATACGACGGCAACTACAACTACAACGACAACAAGAACAATAACCGTGAATGGAAAACTCCAGCAAGAAGAACAGCCAACGCAACCACAGAATCCACAGGAACTCGGCAATGAGTCGAAGAATTACCGTGCGATGTGGCATTGGGCCTATAAGGAAACATGCAAAGAGCTTGGCATCAAGGTGAGTCTTTCATCTCACAGAATCATTAGTTGCCTTTCAGCTCGACATCCCTCTGGTCCTTAATCACCCATTGCTACCANAACTCAGCTGACTTTCTCGGGATAATACGTAAACTATAAAGATATGTAGAGGAATGCCAGAAATGCCCATTGGGCCATAATTATTGGTGAAATTCTTGTGCTCGGAATCAATAAGATTAACGATTCAATAACAATAATAACATAACCACATCAGCATGGTATTGAATTGTCGTCGTCTAATCTCGTTTCTTGAACAACAAATTGCTCAGCGTATGTGTCTTTGCAATAATATCTTTCGATGTATCTGAAGCCGCGTATATATCACGCAACGAATACCTCCTCACTCAGGGGAATGCAATTGAGCCATAATTCCTTTTGCTATACACATTTCAAACGTGGAATTTTCAAACGTCCACCGTCTCTAGCCGAAACACGCCATCTGACGATTCATAACATATTTTTTGTTATTCTAAAATAATTCTAAACGTGCTCAATGAATCATATCCATAGGCATTCTCATACCTACAAAATAGATTTTTCTATCAATAAATGTCTCTCTAAGGTGTATTTGCACGCTCGAGATATGGCAACGTCTTGCATTTAATTGCTTTCCAGCATTAGCTGCATTTGTTGCAACGGCTCGAGTGGTATTCTTATCATATTCATCACATGATTGTGGTATCGGATGGTGATTCGAATATCAGAGAGCGCATATCTATCTATCATTGCAAATTGTGTTCTCATAGAGTCATGAAATTCAACTTTGCTCTAAATTCAAGTTTGGACAAATCCGATCACTTCAAAAATATCATTCATGAAATCCATATCCTCCTCGCCCAATGACTTTGCTCATGCACTCCATGTTTCACACCAAACTCCATGTATTCATGGA